GGCTATTCTCGCAGCCGATGAATAGTGCCTGATATTGTTACATATGCTCGACAACATTGTTCTGGATTTAGGAATCGTTTCACGCTGCTGGAGATAATGAGGATGTTAATAGGATTAATAGGGCCAGTAATCCTTGTTAATTTTATATTATATGTACGAGAGAATACGCACAAGCATTGTTGTTGTAATCCGATTTCCATTAATCAAGTTCACTTCACTTTTCATCAATTCCACTATTCACGTGGAAAAAACCAAATCGGCTTATATTGAACTATTCAAATTGCAGGACTTCGTATTTGCCTCTGAGTAAAGCTTGCAACTTTGATAATCACGTTGAGCTTCGATCACTGTTTTCTAATGACGTCCTCTACAATTGCATCGTGAACATTTTTGCTTGATCAGTGATTGAGAAACAAATCAAATTCAATTTTTCAAATGTCATTGGGAGAAACGCGAAGGAGTCTTTCGAACAAAGGCAGTATTTTATCGACAAGAATTATCATACATCGCTCGCGAATAAGTCAAGAATCGCAGCGTCAAGAGAAAACGCAGGACTTCAATTTCAATTCCCGACAAGCATTACCGTCAGCCCATCCTCTGTGTCTGTAGCGACAAGCCCTGACTCTCCTTACTCATAAAACTTTCCCTGCCCCCTCATCTCGCCTAAATATCTCTGACTTAGCGCGCCGTAAAAAAAGCTGGAAGAACTATCGGGGAGGCGCGTTCGCATAAACGCAACAATTTTTGCAGCTGAACTTTATGCGATTTTTATTGCAGCTGATCGAAGCATCGACGCCGTAAAGTTCAAACGTCAGTTGGTCTTCTTTTTTTTTGTGCTGCTGCAGCTGCTGCTCTTGCAATACGTAGTCGAAGGAAGATAGCAAATGTTTTTCTTGCAAACAGAAAGGAAGAAGTCGCGCGTGAGAGCAAAGGTTTAAGCCATCTAAGCCTTAGCAGTGAAGTTGACGAGACTTACTATGCAGTCAATCATCTAATTTTTTTGTTGAAATATATTTTCGGAAGAAAATTATGTTTTACATTTCTTTTCTACATTATATGCGTGATTACGCGGTGAAGTTAAATATTACCGACAATGAAATGTCCAAAAATAATTTTCCTTGAAATTCAATAAAGAAAAGCTATTCAAAGTGAAAAGCTGAAAACCAACGCCAAAGAAAATACAGCCTACTAGGCTATATAAGACTCAATTAATATGTGCGTTGAAAAATGGCACATTGTTACGAAAAAAAGAAAAAAACAATAACACTTGGTTCGTCACAGCTCGTACCGGCGTCGATGCACGCGCGCACGCGACGGGATTTTCTGAGAATTGTTCATTCTTTTCGTTCGCGTTCTCGCCGTTCTTTGTCTGGCTTACTTCTCTTTTGATGCAGCGCCGCCGTTTTCACTCTTTTAATTTGTCAGAGATACTCTTCGTCTCTATCGCGCTTGCGAAGAAAGTTTTTTGCCACTGCTTATCTTTTAGTATGATATGGATCATTATCATAGTGCGTAGAGATTTTTTCTTTATTTTTGAAACTGCCAGTTGACTTTGATGAACAGCTGGCACTTAATTACGCTCGAGAGGAAAAGAGGGACAGAGCTCATCATTGATTTTACGTCGGCCTGATAGTACTCGATCTATACTACTCATTCGAATTCGAACTGTAGGAGAGAAGGAGAGAGAGAGAGAGAGAGAGAGGCATAATCCTTCTATTAACGTCATCAGCGAAATACCAATAACGAGACTATAACTGTATGGATGATGATCTGTTGCATTGGAAGAAAGTAAACGAGAGAAAAAAAATACGTCCATTAACTTGTCGGAAATTAAACATTCACATGAATGGTTGATTTGAAACGGATACTGTTACTTAGAATTCATTGAGCTTTCCAAAATATCCAACAGAATAGAATTTGTTGCTTTCAAAGAGATTTCGTACATGTTCTAAGATTACAGTGATAATCACACCTGACAGATTAAGTTAATAGAAAAGTGCGAACTCTGTTGATTATAATTAAGTGTGAACAAGGTCGGTTCGTCTTTTCAAAACGAATACTGAAAAATTGTTAAGCGAGCATGTTTCACCATGGCCCATTCTGTACTTGGCCATGTAAATCAATACGGCCAATCTCTAACTCATCTGAAATATTTGAACGTAAGTCCGCGCGCACCTATATCCACGCGTGCCCTCTCCACAAAAGCCACAATCATTCAATTTCCCGGCGAAAGCGATACCTTTTCCTCGATACGTGGCGGCCACCTATCTATTCTACGTTTCTCGGCTATCGGATCATCCATCGTGGCATAGTGTAAGCGATGCGGGGATGTATATCTCCTCGTCGAAGCCGCCACGCTGGTCGATAAATAAAAAAACGCACGAAGCATCACGGTGAGAGTTCCACACGAGAAATCGGCTGGCGAGACAGGCGACATGGAAAAATCAACACGTCCAACGTATCTACACCTCGGTATATGTATACAGTGAAAGCACTGAGGACATTGCCACGAGAGAGAGAGAGAGAGAGAGGAGGGAGGTTGGGTATCGCGATACACTCTATCGGCCAGAAATCGATAGAGGGACACACGTACACACACACACACACACACACACACACACACACATACACACAATGCCAATGGTCAACGAGTGTTCAGTTTGCTGACTCGGCTATTTTCCTGTAGTTTTGTTTTTTTCGTTTTCTCGCAGAAAAGGAGATGCAATTTCGAATGATCGTCCCGTGCGACGACTCGAGGCAAAGACACTTTACGATACTCTGTTTACTGATTGGAAACGAAAGTTGCATCTCTTCGACTAGTTGTTGGCAGACCTCTCGTGATCGATTACTTTGCCTCTCCTCGCTCACTCTTCCATCCGTACGATTTTTCCCTCTCTCTCTTTTTCGTTTCGTCGTTCTGCTTTATCTCTTTCGTTGCTGATGCTGGTGCTAGTGGTGGTGCTGCTGGCCTTATCGTTATGTGTGCAAGTGTGAGAGAAAGAGAGAGAGAGAGAGAGACAGAGAGAAAGTGGATAAGGTACGTTCTGTGAGAGTGTTTTTTGTCGAGTTGCGCTCGGCCGCGAAATGAAATGCGGTTTTCGATCATCCGGCCAGTGCAGATACCCCAGTCGTGTGTCCGAGAGCTTGAACGACGGCTGAGCTTCTACCATTTTTTTCATCGTTTTTAGTTTTTTAGGTCAAGAGGCTCAGCTATGCCAAGATCTAACTGAGAATACGAAGGAGTTTTGTTGGACGAATGATTTTCTTGGTAGTTAGACGTGTTGCATTAGCAAATTATATGATTGACGGGTTCTGCTTCACCAATGAGTTTTTCAACAATCTTGGATTTTTATGTTAGTTCGATTCATCTTGTCATACTGCAGTTATAAAACGTTTAGTTTCGCGTTTAATATTATTATTCAGACAAAATTACATATACACGCGTATATATTAAAATAAAATGTGTATCAGAATTTTTCTCGCAAGATAAAAGATATATCAGAGCTTTTCTCGAATAAATCGTAAACCCGATATTCGAAATTTCATGCTCGATATTTGGACGAACTCGATGGATATTCAGTTGATGTTTAAACAATTCAATACACATCGAGCTTTCGGAAATATTTCGGAATTATTTCGCCGGATGAAACATTAATTTCCATACTGCGTACATGAAGCAATATAAATAATATTAGAAAACTTTAACAAATCAGTATTTGCAGCGCGCCAGTATATTGAATACCTAGCGATAAATTAAATAGAAAAAGTCAGATGCGAGCAAAGAATGCAACTATCTATAGCACGTGCGTGGTTTTTGAGCGGTGTGCGTGTGCGTTCGTGGTTTGGTCGTCTATCACCTTGCATATTGCAATCACTCAGGTTAATGAATAGAGCGAGAGCAGAGGATGATATGGATCGAAGCATATTGAATTTTAGTGCGCTAGGACGGATGTATAGCTTGGTAGCTTATATATACATCAGTTTGCACGCGCACGTAGAAGCATGTAGGTCATTTGGCTATTTACATGTGTCAATATGGCTTGTGGTAATCAAGTTCCGTTGCGTCGCGCGCTGGAATATGTCAAGTATTCCCGACTAAGAAACGCGCACGCGTTAGTTCATGGTACAGCCAATTGTTATTGGCATCCTTCCATGCTTCCCTGTAGGAATTCGTTTTCCTTTCTCGCCAAGCACCAAGGAATTCGACTCTCGTGTGAGCTCAATAAATAATATCCTGCAGCGTTTGATGCGGCTTCTTCATTTCCCTCTCTCTCTCTCTCTCTCTCTCTCTCTCTCTCTCTTTCTCTATCTCTCTCTCTCTCTGTCTCACCGTCTGTCTATCTCTTTCTTTCTCTCGGAAACTTTCAGATATTTTTCTCGGACGAATTTCAAGCGAATTTAACGTATGTAACGTATACTCTTGTAGATTCTGATGACGCGTCGTGTATGCTACATTTGTGCTCTACAGATAGATGTTTCATTTTTTTTAGTTTCCTAGAAATGAATATGATGGTGGAAACGGGCAAAAATTGTAGGTATTGTAATATCAATATTGCAAATGTATTTTGAGTTGATTTAGAGCATCTATTGTATCGATCGAATTTTGTTCGATAAATTGAAAAGATGAAGTAAACCTTACTTAAAAAATTTACAATCAGGAAATACATTTTCGAGCGTAAATAAAGCAGTAATAAAAATAATCAAAATCGATATTAACAAGTGCAATTCAATTGGACAAAGAATCCTCACAGTTAGAGCGATAAATCAGTACAAGTTCACTTATCAGTGGTACTTGAAGAAGGAAGTAACTCGAAGTAGGAAATGAGAAGAGAGAGAGAGAGCACAGCACAGAACGCACTAGTAAATGGGGCGACAAAAGCCACTCGACAAGACGTATATTGAGAATCGAATGCCAATCGCGCTAGCTTGCTAACTCTCCGTTCACAAGTAAATCTTATAAATTCTCTCTGTCGAGGAATGAGATAATCGAATCAACTTACCGATCAGTAGGATCAGCAGCAGCAGAGAGCTCAGCAGATCCATCGCTTCTGGCAGCAGACTTTGTTGTCCTGTCCTGTTCTAGGAAGCTCAGCGCGGCATCCTCGAGTGCAACTTGGGCTCCTGCACAAAAAAAGAAACAGTACTGACTTAGCCGAGCTGGCTTTAACAATAGGATTGGATAAAGGATCCAACAACTTTTCGGCGCCGTTCGCTTGCTGCTTTGCTTTTGTGCTGCTCTGCAATGGCTTTTCACGCTATTATAAACGTGTGGCCGCCTTAGCTCCTTCTTCTTCGTGTTCATTTTCCAGACGCGTATTATTTATAAGGCTTTGTGCCACATCGTTCATCTAATAAGATGTTAAAATTTCGCGGGCGTTAAGCTGGAGCTTGAATGGTATGGCGGAGGGGTCAGTTGTCGACGTTTGTTTAACACGAACTCATTATTGGCACATTTTTAATTTGGCAGCCGGATAGCTGATTAATTCCTACTGCGCTCACAGTGTTTTTGCTCGCTTAATCATTGGGGATTTACTTGGTTTCTGTACCAGCAATATTATAGCAATATAGATGCAAAGAAATCGAACGAGGGTCGGTGAATGATCCTTTTATTTTTATCCAAGTTAATGACGTTGATACGGACATTTCGCAAAGAAATATAATAATGTTGCTTGATAAGTCATTAGCTTATAATCGAGTACATGTACGTTCTGATCAATCGATTAAAAAGATAATATATTTCATGATCGTATAATTAAATCGGCGTACAGAGCCAGCATATTTTTTTATATCGCAGCAGAGCGTTCTGATTGAATAACGAGATCTGTTTCAATTTAATCAACTCCATCTATCTGCGACGCTATACGCACGATTAAATGTACAACGTATCTGTACTTTTTTGATGCCACTATCTCCGACGCGCTCTCAATCCATCCCGTTTGACGGGACGCTGGCTTTTAATTATAATTCAAAGAATTAATATAATCACATCAAAGAGTTTTCGTTAATCGAAATCATACGTTATCACATGTTATCGTTTTATCGACCTTTGCGATATTAATAATTGTAATGATTATCGACGCTGTGTAACTCGGGTATACAATATGATGCATTGTCACGGCAATAAACTAGTTTGCACGATGCGACATATTGAAAGCTGCGAACGGCATTGTTCGAATAAGTTGACTTTTAACCGTGCAAAGTGCGAATGAACGATCGTTGATTATACCCATTATGCAGTTGATACGAGCGAGCACCTGTGATTAATGATTTGCCATTCGATTTGCGCCTTAATCAATCGATTTGGCGACCTCGACGCGTACGTCTTGTCCTTGCGGAAATAAGAGCGAGCAATGTCGCTGATCTCTATTAGTATAATGCTATGTGCCGAAAGCTACATACTATTTGCATAAACATCTCAGCGTAACCCTCTGAGTGGCAAATCAATTTAGATAATAGCAAATACGCTAGCCAACCATTATCAGCGCGCAAGCTCGGTCTTTCTTATAGTAGAATTTATCTTTCCATAGCGCTCGGTATCTTTTACTCCTTTCTTCCTCGGCGTTTTACGAGCATCCCCATGCACCTGGCCATTTTTCACGCCGACACGCTTGCGCGAGCGCGCACGGACATCCGCTTCCCGATGGCGCCAAATACAAACGCGCCAGAAAAAAAAATGAGCGACGAGCGTCCGCTTGGAAGAGCAAGCGCTCCGGCCTGTCTCTGCCACTAAATAATATCAGTCGCGGCGATGCTACATGCCGCCGTATTTATGTATCTTGCTGGCTTTGCCGTCGAGGCAGATTTTATCGATTCGCCTCGGGATTACGAGGTGCGGCTCTTATTGCACAGACGTCTCGGCAATTGACCTGTCTCTTTTATTTTTTATCTCTTCGCTGCGCTATTTTTCTAAGATTGCACTGCATTTTTTATCTTGAGCCGGGGCCGGAATTTTCGTTACTGTTCCAACGTTTTCATAAAATATGCAACAACGTTACGTAATTATTTTCCGTCACTCATTATCACTCTCACAAAAGACCTTCATTAGAGGAATTCTGTACCAATGCCGGTGCGAAAGCTCAATCAGCAATTACCGGCAAAGCTCACTGATCCAATTTAATGCCCTAAAGAAAATCACCGGACTTTGGTCGCGCACTCGTATCCCACAAGTAGGCAAGCACATAACAAGCCGCGCCTCACTTAACTCTTCGCCAATATACATAGGTACACATTTACAAGCTCTCGCCGCTGATCATTGAGTTAAGGCGATCTGGCCTAAACCTCGCCAACAGCCTTTCACAAATTAAACTCAATAATGAAATTGGCCTGGACGGAGTTAGTGTGCAGCCACTCGAGCCGCAAAACTTTATGAATTGACGCTATCAACTGCACGTCTATATATACGTAACGCTAAAGCACGCCCCCTGTTGCTTTGCACAAGAGGACCAAGTGTCCTTTGCTACCGCGAAATTTCGTGTCGGCGTGACGAAGGCGAGTTAAAAATTGGGGCTGCGCGATGCATCGCATTAACGACTCGGCACTTTCGCTTGTTCCGCGAGATTTTTCCCTTTTGGACGAGGCACTCGAGCTTATTCGATTAGCTGGTTAAGCGTTTGTTGCCTGGATAATGGATCGCCTCAAAGACGGCTTTACAGCTGAATCTTCAGCTGAAACAATCTAGACGAATACATTTTTTTCACGTGTCAAATGTCGAATTCCATAGCATGCATGTTCGACTATTGATCGATTGGATATGTCACAAGGGAAGCCATTGTTTCGACGACTTTCCGAAATTAGATGCTATTTTCAAGCTCGTTTCAAAATTCAATAATTTGAATATTTTGTGGAATATCGCAAACGATCAAAGCGCGTTAAATGTTCAGTTTACGTTCAATCAAATTACGCGAGGATAGAGAGTTAGGCGACTGCTGCACGAAATCTTCATTCAGCCAGTCAAGTAGTAAATTGATTTTCCAACAGCTGTCAGCCGTAGTCGCTCGATGGAGCGAGTGCATTGTCCTCTTGCCGCCGCGGCAGGAAGGAAAATTCGTCAAAGGTCAAGCACCTTCCAGCTTATATATATTCGAAGTAGCTCTGCGGATCGAGCGAGAGTGAGTGGAGCACTTCGGAGTAGCTGGCCGCGCCACACTACCCCCTCGCCACGCCACGGCACACCACGCCACGCCACGACGACGACTACGTATGACGAGCTGCTGCAACTGCTGCTGCAGCCACTGCACACGGCAAAAATAAAGTAACGAGCCGACGGCGAGCGACGATGTCAAAGTCGGCTTTTACGGTCTCGTCCCTACTCTCGCCGTTGGATATGTGTGCACCCTCCCGGATTTGTACTTCTGAATGCAAGTGCTAGCCCGACCGGGACTCACACACGCGAACGCCCAGCTTCCTGCCATTTGCTCGGATAGCAAAAGGACCTGCAAATATGGTATTTTCGACAGGAGCTTTTCAGCTGCGAACAAATCGAACGTCTTCACGGTGTGCACGAGCTTTTTTTGGAAGAAACGCTGTCAAGTCAGAATGTCTATTCCATTATTATTCTCAACCTAAATGTAATAATAATATAATCATATTAGAACTTTAATGAAATTCACAGATGTCATAGTTATCTCCTAATCATTCGGTCTTCCAGTTCACTGTTATGATAACGTTTATAGTAGTTTATAGTAGTCAGTACCGCCGAACGCAGCACATGCAATTTGAAAAATGCATAAAACCAATCCTCATCCGAAGCCAATAAGTCAAAGAGGAGTGAGTCAAAAAATGCTGTAGGGAGAGAAAAAGATCATTGAAATCACTTATGAAATTGATAGAAAGCGAAGAGGACCCTCGAGAGTAGGTGAGAGAAAAAGCTTGAAAGGAATCAATGTAAAGACAGCCGTTGAGAAAGGGAGACGTATGAGTTTAAAGCTATATATCGCATGTCCCAAGCCAGAGAGAATGGTGGAGAGAATGCCGGCCGAAAAATAGGTGGCACGCCGGTAAAAGGAAAAATAGCCGAGGCTTCATCATTTATTTGTTGTCCTGTGCGTACAACGAACGCGCGCACGATCAGAGATACTCTCAATTCTCGCGATAAAGCCAATTTACAAAAAAATCTCTTGTAGCTGGTCATCGCTCGTTCGACCCTGTATTGTGTATACCCACAGCAAATGAAATGTTGCCGGGACTGTGTACATATGTTCGGTAAAGTTATGTACGTCTTACGTGAGAGCGAGAGATTCCAGCCAGGCAAGAAATATCTCGACAAAAGAAAATCTCATAAGATTTTTATTTCTCGCTAAATCAAACGGCTGGATATATCTCGGCAGCATGTCAGAAGTGGAATTATACGTGTTTACGACTCTTACTTCAATTTCCGTAAGCGACAAAGTTTTATTAATAACAAGAATAACGTTGTTTGACCACTACAATTTTTCACAAGAGTTATATCGCCATTTAAAACTTTGCTACTGATTTCTGATGCTGCCTAGAAATGACGCGTATCAGCGATTTATTGGACGGCTCGAAGCAGCGAGTATGTAGAAAGACAGAGGTCAAAATCAATGACCGTATATTCGTAAGATCAGGGCCAGCACGGAGAGAGAAAAAAGATGGAGATTGCGGGAAGATGAGACAAAGGAGGGAAAGAGAAAAGCTAGGAGAAAGTTAAGGTTTAAAGCCAGCAAGTTCAAGGAGGAATCATCATAAATCGGGAGCTTTCCGGGAAGCTTTCTCGCTCGCTCTATCTCTTGCTGGTTGCTGGTTGGCGCGCGCACCGCCGACTCCGTCCGTTCAATTTCGAGCGTCCACGCATAATAAAGCGGCTTTCTTGCCGGAAATGAAAATTTCGCGAGCTGCTCATCTCTGCGATTCGCGCGCGTACGATGCGGCCAAATTATCGTGGTGCAGCGGTCACAGATTAGAGGATTTTGGCCTTAAAGCTGACGCTCCATTAACTCTCCGTTGTTGCTGCTACTGCTACCGCTATTGCACGAAACAAGATAGTAGCGAGCTAACAGCGCTATATGCAGATAGACTGTAGTCCGCCAGTTGACGGCTGGATTTGAGAAAGCACAAAAGCTTGCCATTATTATGTTTTTTCCAAAAAACTTTGGATTTTAAAT